ATAGGGGGCAGTGCTGCCACATAGGGACAACGAAACATTGCTGTGCGTTCTTCTGTTACACAGGGGGTGGGGGTGGAAGATCATATCTCAAAACTAAAGGATTTTTCTAAACTCATTCATGTTAAAATAAAAGGTAAGATAATACATTTTTTATTCATTAAAAATAGAGGACTATGGAGTTGATTAAAGGATAATTAGATGTCTTTTGAAAAGGGAAAAAAGGGCTAAATTGAAATATAAGTTTCTGTTTGGGGTTCATATATGTGAGCATCGTGTCAGTGCCTCACCTGTCACAAACCTCACCGCACGTCACTGGTAAGAGTGTGAGTGGTTTGTCTCGTTTGCCTCTATGTGTTCCTGTGATAGACATGTGACCTTTCCAAAGTGCCCCCCACCTCTCTAAACAATGCCTGAAAAGCAGATAGGTACCAGTTTTGCCATGGTAAAGAAAATGGATGGATGTTAATGGCTCAGAGGACGGCTGCAGAAACTAAGCATATGTGTTTCTCTAATATCTTATCTTTTCCTTGTTGTGTTGTGATTTAGAGAGGATTTAAGCTGCTGCCTGCAAACACTTTTGTAAAAAGGGGTTTTAAATCTCAAGTCTCTTTCCCGGTAAAATAAAGGTTACATAAAAAAGATGGGGGTGGTCATAAAGGAGGTGGAATGAGTATTTAGTTGATGCAATACCACAGAAACCATAGGCTGCAAATTTATATCAGCACATTAAAGCAAACCAGAGATATGGAACTCAGACTATCGTTCGACGCCACTTGCCTCTGAAATCCTCACAAATCATTGCAGTGTGAGGGAATGGGAAACCGCTTCCAAATGCAACATACAGTACGATACAGTTACGTTTATTTTAATAATGATGTGAACCAGCAGTATATTGCATCTGCGAATGTACAGCTTTACCCCCCAGGGGGTGGAAGATCATGCCAATGAATCACAGTGTGCTGCAGCTGAAAGCTGACAGCACTGTCTCCAGCTCAGTATGCACAGGCAGTGTGTGCAAGGTCATCGAGGGAGATCCACCACAACATCTACAGGAAGCATCCATCTCACTTATCACCGTATGTGCCACGGTGAGTAATCATATTATGATGAATAGGGTTTCCTTCTAAACGAACAACTAGAAAAGCACAGATTACAAAATGTGAATTTATCTGAGTAACGATGAGCAGAATGTTTTCAGGCATTCGGCTGATAATAAATGCACACACAGATATCTGAGCATCACGGAGAACTCTCTTGAAGACACCTGTCATCTTTTCCATCGCTATGTTCCTTCACCCAGCAAGGAAAAAGGGACAAAAATGTCAGAAATTCTGCTTCACCTTTCATCGACTCCTGTAAATAAAAACTCACACAAAAGCAAATGTGAAAGAAAGGCAACCTATGGCTGCAGGTTGTCAAACGAAGATGAAGGTGATATGTGTGTGTATCAGTGCGCGTGAAGGTGAGTGTGTGTTGGCAGCAGGAAACAGCCGCAGCGGCAGCAGGTGAGTGAATGCCTCTGTCTCTGTCTGAACGATACCCAAGCAGGAGGAAACCTGCATGGAAGTGAAAGGGCTTGTGTGGGGGCAGAAAAAAGCACATCTATTTGTGGAAAGTACAGATGGGGAAACAGTTAAGGGAACCACAAGAGGATCACTTATCATCCACATGATGAGGTGATGATACAGCTCTCTCACAGAGTGCTGATGCCGACTGGGTGACCGACCTAGTGCAACATCTGAGCTTCTGACTCAAGCTATGAACCGTCTGCTCCAGGCTCAACCAAACACCCACAAGGTCACTGGGTCATGGTCTGGCTGCTGACTCATCTGTAAAAATGTGTTCATACTATTGCTCTTCAGGTCAAGCTCTCTGTCCTTTGGGTGCTTTATTTCTACTTAATGAACCAGAAAAGAATGAACATTTTAGAAACACTCAGCAGGATGGATCTGCAGGCCTCACACTGATCTGTATACATTTTATCATCCAATGGCAAATGGAGACTGCAGATGATAATGTTTTTTCTTGTCTTTATGTTTCTGTCTCTTACCTTATTATCATTCAAGGTAATCATTTGATGTATATCCTGATGCATGCTCAATAATCCAGGTAGAAAAATCTAAAAAAGTTAAATCTGGTCCTCTGGACATTCAAAAAAA